ATCATTGGGGTAAGTTCCGATGTGTCGGTATAACTTTAACTGATTTTAGATCGAGAATTTTGAGCTGTAGCTTACTTATCACACACTCTGACTGTCACAGGGATCATTTTATCTCTAGGTGTACAAGCGATATTTGTATTTTCTCGGATTGGTATGGGACTTAATGCACAAGCGACATCCGTAGTGGGTTCGAGTCTCGGATTACGAATCGAATGAAGTGGACAAACGGACTAAAGAGCCCGAAACGCTAGTTAGTTTGAAAAAAGAAATATGTCTACGCGATTGAAACCCGAAAAAATAGTATAATGTCTATTGAGAAGTGATAACATTTTAAATTGAAAAAGTCTATGACAGAAACACCGTTACTTTTTTTAGTAGCAGCTCCTTGTGAAACAATTCGTTGAGGGAAGTACTGCCACTTTATCTATTTCTGCCGCCTAGTACTGCGTTCTGGTTTCGAAGGGTACGGGTGCTGGTGAAATCACCATGGCGCTTGTCAACTTGTGTGTCAGAGTAACGGGCATAGTGGCAGTGCCCCGCAGATCTTTATTCAAAGTGTAAACAAAATAAAGAACGAGGCCAGCCACAGTCTCCGCTTGCAAATAAAACTTATCTGGAACTGGAAGGACTTCAACTTCGCCGATAGTACATACAGACAGGTACTCCTAGGGGTCATATTCGGTTGCATGTAATCATGAATGACAGCTACAATGTCAATGTCATTTACATTACAGAGGTTACGGGCTGGCAGTTGCAGTGCCATTCTGAACTTTAAGCGCAAACATTTGAGGAGCACTATCCCATGTGCCTAGTTTCACCCTTACCCTTCTAAACCTCTACTGCATTTTTTTAAATTGTTGTATAATATTAATAAGATAAATCAGTCATATTCTGTCGTAGCTTGAAAGTAAGCACACATTACTAGTAAGTAAGTACACAAGACTGACTCCTTTATCACAAAATTTAAAAAAAGAAAAAGAACAAATTTATGCTAATCGCTACTAAACAATTACACTAAAATGTCAATTCGAATTAAGTCGACACTAAACTAAACTAAACGGGGCAATAATTTTCAATAAAAATTTACACCAATTAGTTCGACCTAAACATTGTTATTACTGGCATGAGCAATCAACAGACAAACAAATACAAACAGAGCAACAAAAAAAAGACAAGAAAAAATATAAAGCGCTTTGACCCGACCTTTAGAGAGGCGCCGTTCGTAGTTCTTTTTTCAAACTAAACGACAGAGACAGACAGATATAAATTATAACGAGTGTGAAAGGGACAACTGCACTGGTAATTAACACAAAGAGCTTGCCGAAAAGGGTGGTTTTTATTATTAGAGATCTGTTATAAAGGACGATAAAACCGTGGTAAAGAGAATGTCATAACTGCAAATTGTCAGATACCTATTTTATAGAAAGTTACGGCTAAATAAAAGAAACAATTGTCTTTTTTTATTATACCAAGCGAAGGCACGAAGAATTCGTGCGCCTGGTTGTAAGCGACACGCCTGTGAATAACAGTCGCAGTGCCACTCAGAGCTTTAAATCGTCACCCTGAAACTTAAGTTGACAAGTTCCATGTACCTGTAATTTCACCAGCACCCTTACCCTTCAAAACTGAAATACAGTAATGCTCACATGACTGGTTGGCGGCAGAAATGGGTAAGATGCAAGTACGTACTTACTTGGACAAACCCTTCCACGAGGAGCTCTAACTGCTGTAGTTCGTATTATTTTTAGAACTTTCATAATCATGAAACAATTTTTGCGTATGATCATATTATGTTGCTGTACCTTGAAGCACGTTGGAAAATTTAACACGGAACACGGTACAACATATTGTATTGCCAGCACATTGCATATAATGTGACGGCAAATATTTCGACGAAAAATAGCATTATATGTATGCTGTCTTACTTGTATTATATGTGTCGTATTATCGCATTAATCAAAATTAAAATCCTGCGATACGGAACACTTTGGCATAAAGTTCAAATCCTTTTGCCGTTTTCTCGAAGTTCATTTGTTTAAATATAAAAAGATTTCTGTGAGAACTATTTCAACGTTATGGGTTATCTGTGTAATCGATAGTCAATTAGTTATTCTAATTAAGAAAAAGGATAAAAGTTAAAAAGTTTAGTTATACATGAAAGATTCTTAAGTAATTACTCAATAAATGGAATAAGTAACACTTTTTTAGTAGCAGTGGAGGTCCTTGTGAAAGCGTTCGTTCAGAGAATTGCCACCTTACCTATTTCTGCCACCAAGCACTAATGTGAAAATTACTGCGTTCCGGTTTTGAAGGGTAAGGGTGCTGGTGAAATTACAAGCACATGGGACTTGTCTACTTATGTCTCAGGGTTATAGGCGCAGTGGCAGTGGCCCTCACATCTTTGCGGGCACTATAAGAAAAACCATTAACAGTGTACTTATACCATCTAATAAACATGGAAGCTAACACACATTTTATAGTCAAACTCTAATAACAACGTCTCATATCATAATTAATAGCGAATGTCTCACTGGTCTTTGATCTGCTGTCAAAATAAATTCTTCTCATGAATTGCCGCATGAGGCGCCACAAAACACAATTTAAAAGGCGCTTGTCTGAATTTTATTTTGAATCGATAATAATCGATTGCTAATTCTTTTGAGGAACTCGGTGGTTCAACGGACCACTGATTCTAGTCTTAGTTTAAGACCAGGCAATTGGTGGCACATTTTGTTATGAAATGGAAACCCTGGCACTATATAAATACTTTCACCTTCCACTTATCATCACGACAGTTAATATGCAGAGTCCACTACGACCTGTACAGATTATTTTCTAATCCTACATATCAAAATATCATCACTCAGTATTGAATTACACATTTTTTGTTAGAAACCAGCAGCGAAATCGCAAATTGAACAGTTATTCCAACTGATTCAATTAAAGAAATCAAATATATCTATTTATTAATTGTTTTTTAATTGGCAGTACATTAATTAGCCATCACTAAACTTCCTATCGGTCAGGTCAATGACCTGTTTGTTTACGTTTTATGTAAAATGGATTAAAACAAAGTATAATTAGTTCTTGGTTATAAATATGGTCACACTATAACTTGCGAGGTGCGAATAGAAACTAGAGGACTTAGGATCGCAGTTTTACTATAGTCGCCAGGGCTATCTATCAGTAGTCAGAAATGACATTTTCCAGAAATAACGTTTCCTCGAGTATTCATAATCTCGAAAGTGATTTTGAGAGGAAAATGTTTTTTCTTTTAAATCAAACTTAACCGAACCTAATCGTGTCTTTGCGATAAACATCCAACATATCCTGAAACAACAATGGTTTCCTTATAATTCGGTTTTCGGTGTAATGAAAATTCGAACAAACGTTATTTCGGAAAAAAAATTCGAGTTTATGATAATTACCAGTTACCAGTCGCCAGAGAGGAAGTTGGAAGAAGGACGGACTGTCATGGTATCGAAGATAATACAAATTGTCCAAATTATGGAAAATTGTAACTTTTTTTATGACATCAAGTGACGCGACGAACAAGTCGTGTCCCCTGATGGTAAGCTACACCTATCCATAACGGTTGCAGTGCCACTAAGTACTTTAAATTGCAAAGATCTGATGGCACTGCCACTGCGTCTATCATTGTGAGGCATAAGTTGACAAGTCCCATGTGCCTGCAATTTCACCAGCACCCTTAACATTTCAAAACAGGAACACAGTAATGCTGACAATACTGCTTGGAGGCGGAAATAGGCAAGGTGGCAGTACTTCCCTGGACGAACTGCTTCACAACCTAGAACCAAACTACGTTATTACACTTTTGTAGTAACTGTATGGTATAACAAAGACTGATTGTGTGCCTCCATTTAGGCATACGTCGTGTCTGGCAGTAGAATATTATTAAACTAGGTCATAACATTTTAATAGAGTGGAATAATTTTAATATCTTGACTGTATAAGTACAGCTCTAAGGATGTCTTAAAAAAATGTCACTTCGGATTTTGAAATTCAAAAATCGAATTCAAACGTCATTCGTCCCACGCAGTCGTACATCGGCTTCATTGGTTCAATTGACCGTGTCGGCGGTTAAATTGTTTTCCAGAAAACATGCCTTATACGGTGACTACTTCGATTTGATCTCGCCCCTTTGACAAATATTACCTTTAAAATACAATTAAAAAATACTTCTTGGAAACTTCGCTCTATCACGCTTGTACTGAAGTTTTTATTACTACTATTTTCAATCTAATAAGATGACAAACAAGATTTGATCCAGGAATCGTTTATCAATGTAAAAACAGAATAGAGACACTTGACTTTTGCAGAAAGGTATTGTAACGCTCATTAAAGAAAAGGTACTTGGAAATGATTAGGATATTTTTAGTGATTGTTCGGCAATTGGATGACAAATGAAATTATGAGCTATTAGAAAGATAGAAATACAACAGAGCTCTTTTTAAAGTTGTCACGTAACGCGACCTTAGTTGACCTCGTGAGAGTGGGCGTTCTGTTTTCGAATTTTATAATTTTTAAAAAAAGCCGTTACGCGTGATTGGCCAATCGTAAGATATGCGAGATCCAAAGATAGAATGCTTTGGGTGCGCTCGAGTGTGCATTCGATGTTTAAATTACGTAAATATCTTCGGCTGGTTTTGCTTAATTGCAATTTTTGTTGAGTTTTTTCATTGTCATCCGTTTTATTACACGTTTTAAAGATCTATTAATTTAAGGCAATTTTATTTTCAAATCACATCATTCAAGAAGAATAATACTCATCCATCTATTGATTATTGTCATTAGGCGAGATTTGCAGGACAACTTACTTTTCGTTAAGCATTCACATCTTGAATTGTGGCTCTTGGGAATCTGTTTCTAGCAAGGAGTTATATTAATATACCATCTTATATAATATATAATAATATATAATATAACATACAATATTTGTATAAACCCCGTAAATTCAATATTTGTTTTTTTTGTTACAGGCTGAAAAGGCGGCGCCATACACCCCCCGTACCCATCACCCTCCAAAATTACCCGAATTCAATCCCCCGCCAACAAATCCTCCACCCTGAGTTTCACAGATCCGTTTGGGCCTCCCCAGTCCACGGACGGGGGGGGCCCGTCCACCCCGCAGCCCGCGATGACGAATGACGCTCTAGATCAACACCACCACCATTTAGGGGGATCACAGACTCCGCATGACATCTCCAATTCAGCAAATTCTACACCAACAAACCCGAGCTCAAAGTCAGCCTTTATAGAGCTGCAGCAACATGGGTATGGACCTTTTAAGGGGGGATATCAGCATCCTCACCATTTTGGAAGCCCAGGTGGTCAACAGAACCCTCATGAGGCGTCAGGGTTTCCAAGTCCTAGGTCTTTAGGGTATCCTTTCCCTCCTATGCATCAAAACACGTATGGGTACCATTTAGGGTCGTATGCGCCGCAATGTGCCAGTCCGCCTAAGGATGGTAAGTGTTCTTTTCTCCTAATTTTGCGGAGTTAAGTTTTTTGCATCAACATTTCAAAGAAACACCGCACCCTTGGTGTATAAAGTCTCGGATGAAGTTTGTCGATATGCTTAAATAGGGAGATAAAATGTCATGCATACGGAATTTGTTTTACATTCTGTTTATATTATTTTTGTGACTTACATGCGGTTTTACTATACCAATTATGTATATCTACAAAGGCATTTTGGTTAACCCAATCGTTCTTAATTTCTTTAACAAAACCTGTATATCTTGTTTCCTGAAAACTACGATCTGGGACTTAATCAAGACTAGAATGAATAGACGTTTTTTAGACCACCGCGTATCGTCGACGGTCACATTGATTCATGTGTGTTTATTTTTAATAAAAAACAAAGAAAAATCTTTACTGAACTAATTTAGTTTAGGAAAGGTTTGCTTCGGAATCTACACCCAACATTAAGCTATTGAAATAAGGTCTTTTTAACAGAGCATTCGATAAAAAATACCTATAAATTACCAAAAAACAAAATACATTTTCATCAAATAATATAATGAGCACTTACACAATTTTTTAATGTAATCATTTACAATTATGACACTTTTATTTGATTTGACTCCCTAATTTACTTATATCATATCTTTTTTACACTGTTATTACTATAAAATACCAAGTTTTTTTTCACAAAAAAAAAGTGTTGTGATCGTTGTCAAATTACGGTTCTTTTGCGGTAATTTTAGTGTCTGTAATAGACGATAGGCGTGAAAATGACATGAAAATGTAACTTTTCTTTTACTTCCGAAGAAAAGTCGTGAGGATTAAATATTTAAGTAGAATTTTTTATAAGCCACGATCACGACACGATTTTAATATCTGACCGACATTGTACACTTTTCATAGTGTCCTCAAAGTACATTGAACTGGGTTTTGTTTATATAGCTCACTGTTAAGCACAGGAGGTTAATCCGAGATGAAAAAGAACAACTCGGTGGCATACTGCCTCCGTGTCCAAACGGTTACCATGCCGGATTGCCACCCAGAGTTTCGATACCTGGGCCGAGAGAAATATTTGTGTAGCCTACATTTATTTACCTCTTGAGTTTGGGTGTAATTTGTGGTTGTCTATATGTGACACAGGCTTTCCCTAGTACGGGGCTATGTTGAGTGTGTGTGTTACTATTAAAAAAAGTTGATTGTGTTTTATGTTCGTTAAAATAATTGTCCAATTCACCCGATGAAAAGTGACGATAAGAGCGATGACCTTTTTCACCTTTATAATGCCTATTTACTCTCGTCTTAAAAAGGCCCAGGACACAAATCTGCAGACTAGGAATTTCACTCCAACATCGTGGGCCATATATATGTGGAAAGTTAACGCTTCGTGCGAATCTTGGGTAGGTATATACCCACAATCAATGTTGTGGAATATCCACAACATAGACGTGAAACCCACGATTTCATGCAATTCTGTCGCACATTATCCGTGATATAAGCAGGCAACTATACAGCGGAGTTTAAAGCTTCTTCTGTTTTTCAGTTGTATAATTTTTTTTTGTCTTCTTATGCATATGTCATGGCCCTGAGACATTAAGTTCCCAAGTCCCATGTGCCTGTAGTTTTATCCGCACCTTTGACCCTTCACACCGGAACGCAGTAATGTCCACATTACTGCTTGGCGGCAGAAATAGGTATGATAGAAAAACTTCAACCAAGGAAATACTGCCACCACACCTGTTTACAATGAGCATTACTGCATTCCAGTTTTAACAGGGAGAGGATGCTGGTGAAATTACGGGCAGATGGAACTTGTTAAGTCATGTCTCATCATGACAGATGCAGACGCAATGTCGCTCTGATCTTTACAAACAAATTTCTTAATAGCATAACTGTTATGGACAGGCGTGTCATGGGCGTGCCTGCTTATCACCAGTGTTCGTCCGGACACTTGATGTCATAAAAATATGTGTTTTTAAGACTGATCGTTGTTCTAGAATGGAGATCTTATTAAATTAATTTATTATATGTTATTAAATAATAAATAATTATAACATTTTTTATAAATAAACCCACCTTAAAACTTTATGTAATTACATCTACTTATTTGCTATTTTTTTTTATTTTAATCGGTTGAAGGAAATTGGGTGAAATAAAATAAATCGGATTCATGCCCTAACTTGCCACTTTTAGAGGTAGAACATTTTCTTTAAATTTTATTGGATCATTATTACTGAGGATTCCCTTTCCAATGAAAAAAGAATTATCGAAATCGGTTCACAAGCATTGGAGTAATCGCGTATCATGCACATAAAAAAATTTTGTGGAATTCAGAACCTACTTCTTTATTTGAAGTCGGTTAAAAATATATACACACTAAAGTCACATTATACGAGGTGAAATTAAAACAAAATTCGTAAATAAAGGCCGCTAGAATAGAATAGTATAAAGCATCCTTTTGACAGACGTCGAAATAGGCCACTTCAATATTAATAGGAGTCGTCACTAGAGTTTTAGTCGGGTGAATTTTTGATCGAATCCAGTCATGACTATGATTTGAAATTTTGATCTGTCGAAGTCTGTAATGAGACATTTTTGTTACAGATTTTTCTCATACAGGTTGCTCTTTTATAAAACCTCCATATGAGCTCTGAAATCATTATAATCCTTGTCACTAATCTGCAAGGGTGGATACCAGGATAAAGGATTTGAAGGAGATGGTTTTTGGGTTCCATTACGAGGTTTTCCTTCACTACTATAATATTCACTAAATGTGAATAAATTAGAAATTAAAGTGTTAAGTATTGTTTCCACAATGAAGTCAATTAATTAATTAAATTATTAACATAAAGATCGAACACTTAGAATAAAATCCATCGAACCAACGTCTTCTAGCAAACTGTGTCAGGCGCTATGCCAACTAAGCCACGTATCGAACCAGCGAATCTTACGAATTTTTCCATGTTCTTGTAGCAGATCTATGTTTTGGTTTTTTAAAGTTTTAATAATTGTAATACAATGATTTCCGTGGCTTAGTTCGCATGGCGTCTGGCACGGTTAGCTAGAAGACGTGTTGTTTCGAATCCAGCCGGCTCGAAGGAATTTTATCTTTATATATTTTTATCGATATTTTTTCTTTATATTCTTTATATTTATTTTTATAACAAACTATAATAAACTTCATTAATTGCTTTATTATTAATATTTAGAAAAAAAAAGAAATAGTGTGACTGAATACAAATTTAAGACAATTGGAATATACAGGATGCCATCTTGTTGTTAAGTAACAATGTCTTCCCAATTAATTTTTCGATCAGCGCAATTGTAGTCGAGTGGGAAACTGTTGTTTCTAAATCATCGACGACGGTTCGATTCCCTGTGTATGTTAGTAGCAACACCTCTCACAAACGCGAAGGAAAAAGTTATAATGAAACCTGCATTTAGAAGAAAGTTCACAACCATTAGAAAACATATGACGGACTATGACATAAATTATATTATATTATTATTATTATTTGTGCTTTTGTCTCTATATCCACTCACAATCTACACAAGTTGTTTTAAAAAGTGAATATATACATTTCAGCCAATTATCGTGTTTATGATAACAAATAAAACATAGGAAACATAAATTGGAGGATTTTTGCTGACATTTTCGTAGCAGCCTGTATATACAACAACAAAAGCTCTATAATTGTTAGTACAGTACAAAATTCTGAACGCGTGCCCTATTATATCAGTATAATAGCCACAACTCAATTAAACCGTACATCACCGATGTCACTCATTATACAATTAACTATTACCCGTACTAGTTAAGTTAACTGCTTCTATTTACTAACTATTATTATTCTATACAACACTAAGTAAGATTTATTAGTTCTCTATTAGTTTTTACTCGGTTGTAACAGATACAGGATAATGTTTTTATTAAAGAATTGGTGTGTAGGAAATATTTAGAAAAGGTTAATGCCATACCATATACAGGCTGTTTTAAAATGTACTAATGATATTTTAACTGATTTCCAATATTTTTGACTCAGCATACTTACTTTTTTTGTTGTTAATAATACTCGTGGTATTATTATCTGAACACACTGTATGTAATTCTCGAGCAATTAATTGAAGTTTATATATCATTAAATAAAAATCTAACGTCCAAATTCAATCACGCAACGTAAAGAAAAAACCGGTTGAAAATATCCGTTCTTGGAAACGGCGGTAACGCTTTCCGACATATTGTTTCCTTCAAGGGCGAGCTGCGCCGGCGCATGAGTTCACTTCCCAGATGTGGTTTCTATTTTGCTTTCCAATAATCAAGGTTGGTTCCAGATTTCATATTATATCTACTTTTCTAGTTACAAAACCGCTACATTGTTATACCTATATTAAGTAAATTACATATACACACACCGGCAAATTTAGCGGAACATTAGTATAATCTCCAAAATAATGCAGTATTATTTTCAAAAATTTTTTAAGAAATGAAACTATGTTTTCAGATCTACATCACGTATATATGTTTTTTCAAATAAAGGTCGCCTGGTCATGGCTGACTGAGATCAGTAAAGGGCCCAAACGTTTGTATGAAAAAAAAAATACGCGACTTATTTTCGAAATAATTACAGCCCTCGTTTAAAAAAAACAAATTCAAAAGTTAGCATTACATCTATTTACCTAGTTTAATTCAAAGCGGCTAGCAGAAAGTGGGTGAAAGCTAATAAACCGATCTCATGTAAGTACGTCCGTGCACTTCTACTGTATCAGTTCACAAGTGTCCGTAGTGTCATTTTATCTCTAGGTGTACAAGTGATATTCGTATTTTTTAGCGCTTAGGTTGATTGTGTAGTGAGTTGGGCTGTTATCTGGTTAGCGACGTATTGTGAAAAAGGAACAGTCTTGGATAGTGTCTTTATTCGTTCATGGTGCATATATTAATAAAATTTTTATTGAATTGATATTCAATTATTTTTTGTGAAATTACTACACTAATTTGTTATAATTA